AGGAGATGCATCAAACTGCCCCAGCTCTGGAGGTAGTTGTAGAGAAGGGGAGAGATAGGTCTGGCTCTCCTCACCCTACCTCCAGTTCAAAATGTCCCTGGGATGGAGAGGACAAAGCCAGGAAAGGCATCTCCACAACCAGATGCTGCAATCCTGCTTGCTCCTCACCTTGGGGAAGAAGATGCTCTACCACCCTCCCTCTTGCAGCCCATGTGTGCTGATCCCACCAAGTCCACCTATTTTAACTCATGGGGTTTTTCTTTTTTTGCCCAGATCCTGCCCAGCCTGACTTGCTGTGCAATCCCACCTGCCTGTCTGCCACACTCCCCTTCTGCAAGCTCTTCATCACTTGTCTTCATCTTCATCATGATTACGGGGCTGGAGCATCTTTATTATGAGGAAGGACTGAGACACCTGGGTCTGTTCAGCCTGGAGAAGAGCAGACTGAGAGGGGGCCTTATCAATGTTTATCAATATCTAAAGGGTGGGTGTCAAGAGGATGGGGTCAGACTCTTCTCAGTGGTGGCCAGCGATAGGACAAGGGACAACAGGCACAAGCTGGAACACAGGAGGTTCCACTTAAACATGAGGAAAAACTTCTTTACTGTGAGGGTGTCAGAGCCCTGGGACAGGCTGCCCAGAGAGGGGGTGGAGTCTTCATCTCTGGAGAGATTCCAAACCCACCTGGACCCTTTCCTGTGCAACCTGTTGTAGGGAACCTGCTCTGGCAGGGGGGTTGGACTGGATGATCTCCTGAGGTCACTTTCAACCCCACCATTCTGTGATTCTGTGATCACTTTAGACCTCCATCAAACTGACATGACCACTTTAGTTACAAGAGAAGAGTTAGAGGAGGATCTGTGTTGGTTTCAAATAGTTTCCAGAACTGGTCACCCTCTTCTGTAAGAGATTAAAAAGGCATCGCTGAGAAGGGAGTGAGGGAGAGAGCATGAGAAAATAAATAAATAAAGGTATATAGTTACTTTTGGTTAGTCTCAGCATGCAGCCCCGTCCCAGGGCGCCTTGTTCTCTGCTCATTTGAAGTATTAGTCACTTTTTCCATTAGAAGCTCTTATTCTAGAGGGATTTATAATGTATCTGTAAAATTGTCTCCAGGCTTTGCTTGGCATCTGAGCTCTCAATCCACGGACAGAATGTAAAGAAACTACAGTTGTTTGATTTATTAGGACAGGGCATGGGGAGGGAGGGAATTTTTCCATGCTCTATGGAAATAAATTCACATAGTGCCTTCAGTGCACAATCACTTACTGCTCCAGAAAATACACGGTTTGGGTACAACCTCATGCTGGCAGAAAGGAAAGAAGCAAATCAATGATTTTTTAGTATTTCCCAGGCTAAGACCCAGCCCTGGTTTGTGGTTTCTCACCATGACCCACCCAGATCACAGTCCTACTGGGTACGACAGTCTCTGTCGTACCACTTGGGTTCGGAAATCCTGCCCTTCACAAGCCTTTTTCAACCCTAATTTCTACGAGAGACATTTCTTAACCCTCTGCAGAGTCTTTCTGACAGAGCCCTGATTTTTTTTTTCCTGGGGGGGCCAAAGCCTCATTTAAGTTTTGTTAGTTTCTCTTAATATCCAACTGCCCAAAGGGAGGGATGAGCAAGGGCTGTAGGTGACATCAGCACCTGAATGGCAGAGGTGTTTCAGCAAAGTGAGAACTGAGAGGTGACATCACCTTTGGGATGCACAAATTCTGGGCTACACCCCATCTCGTTCCTCATGGTCCTGAGGATAATAAGCTCAACTGCAGAGCGGCTCTGACCTGGTCCAGTGTTCACCCAAACTTCGCTGATCTGTTCTTTCTGGTGATCAATGATAGGACCAGGGGAAATGGCAGGAAGATGTGGCAGGGGAGGGTGAGGTTTTCCATGAGGAAAAGGTTCTTGAGGCAGAGGGTGGTGGAGCCCTGGAACAGGCTCCCCAGGGAGGTGCTCATGGCACCAAGCCTGACAAGATTCCAGCAGCATTTGGCCAAGGCCCTCAGGGACATGGTGTGAATGTTGGGATTGTCCTGTGCAGGGACAGGAGTTGGACTCCATGATCCTTGTGGGTCCCTTCCAACTCACCACATTATATTATTCTGCTAAAGATGGGGGGTGGATCAGGAAGAAGGGAAGGATTAGGGACAGCAAGACACACCGGGATCAGGGCGAGGGAGAGCCAGAACCTTCTCACAGCCTCCCTGCAGCACCCATCAGCAAAGCAAGAGCCTAACGTGGATGTTTCAAGGAAACAATAACCTAAAATTGGAACATGGCAAATTATTTATTCAAACTACAGCCTTCCCTCCCCCCTCGATTAGCGAGCCGCTGGGGAGTCAGCCTTGATTTTCATCAGACAGATGCATACGGCTCTGCTCTATCCGCGCCACGCGCGTGCAGCCCATGGGGGGCTGAAGATCTACTTGGTATTCGTATTGTGTAGCAGCTCCTTGAATTCACACAGTGTTCTGCTCTCTGACTGGATCACAAACTTTTTCTTTGGGAGCTTACACTGCAATGATGAATATGTTTGTTTTCTGCCTTTTTTTTCCAGGGAAACATGTAGACTGGAGCATGCAAATGCTTCCCCACACAGTCAACAACTACTTGCACCTAATAATAAAACAATCTCTATGAAGCATTGCAACCCAAATTCCTAATCTGATTTTTTGTTGTTGTTGTTTTGAGTTCCTATTCATTGTTTATAAAAAAACCCAACAAACTCTACTGAAGCCTTATGGAACAGACATGAGAACATGTAAAGAAACATAAGGGTGTTCTGCAAAACTGAAGTGGGAAATCCCAGCGCTGAAATCCTCTCCTCATTTAAATCAGAGGCAAAACCTCCACAGACCAGAGAGGAGCCAGGATTTCACCCCTGGGACTTTGGTAGTGGGAGACATGGAGCTTGGCAACACACAGGGAAGGCTGTGAAAGGTCCAAAGTATCAAATGAAGCAGAGCAGAGACGTGAGAGGAACAAAGGAAGTTCACGTCATTATAATTTATTGATGATCTTGGCCTGATCACTTCAGTGTTTTGTCTTAACAGAACCCACCCCGAGCAGCAGCGAGTCCTGCAGGTCACTTGGCCGTCCTGATGTGGAAGTGATGTGACGATTTACAGACAAAGTTTGCTTCAAAATGTGAAAAATAAAATTAAGAAGCACCAGGCTGGATCTCACCCTCACCCAAGCACTTGCTGCGAACCAGCCAGGATCTCCTGACCTCACCCCCATCAGAGCGCAGCTCCAGGAATTCCCTCACCATAGTTCACATTTTTCCAGCTCTACCAATTCATCCAGCAAGTGCCATGGGAAATCGCTACGGCCAAGGCATCCAAACTTGCTTAAGAATGAGTCAAACTGATTCTTTTCTTCAAAGAGGAGGGTCTTAAGGAAAATAAAATACTGGGGGTTCTTTGTCCTGTATCTTGGATACGAGAAAACTCCCACGCTTGTCAGAAGTAAGAACAGCACCAGCAGCTCACGGCTTTTTCTCTCTCTTATTCTTTTTTTCCCCCCTCCTCAGTGTGTGTGTGCTTTAAAGCAGGATGACACAGTGATGGGTTTAAGAGACAGTGAGTGCTGAGGTGCCAATTTCTAATGTAATACAGGGTACAGCTTCTTTCTTCTGTGATCACGGGTGAAAAATCAAAAGACATAATCCAGGAGACTAAATACACTTCCCAGCCATTCAACTCGCTCATAAATATGCCAAGCAGGACGCTTGGCACAAGAAAACCCCACCACTTCTAGGCTGTATTTTGTTTAACTACAAGTCTAATCTTCCATCCGCATCTTTGGATGGTGCTGGTCAGAGTTAACAGGGTCACATTCCCACCCTCTTCCCCTGCAATTTTAAGCGGATGGTTTACATTGAAAAATTAGCAGGTTCCCATTTTTACTCATGAGATTCTCTCCCATCATCAGCAAAGTGCCTGCTCGCTGTCCCTGTGCAGAAAAGACTCTGCTGTCACAATAAGCAACTCCAAAACAAAGAGTTTTCACTGGACTCAGCCCTTGGCACCAGTTTGCTGTTCCCCAGCAGTGAGCAGGAAGCCTGCCCTTTCCTGCCCGCTGCTAACGCTCCGAAAGAAAGCAAATTTGAAAGAAATAAATTAAATTAAAGACATCGCTGCTGTCGTTTCCTTTTTAAGGCTCGAGGAGCCCTGCAGCTCATTAGCTATTGACAAGAAGGGGACCCTCCAGATCCAGGCTGGATGGACAAACCCTCGGGGAACAACCAGACCTTTGTTTATCGGGTTATCCTGGAGGCAGATGTCATGAGGACCAGGAACCCGAGGAACCCGAGGAACCCGTGCCCATCAGGGACAACACTTTCCGCACAGCGGGAAGTTTATTCCTAAATAAATGTATGTATATTTATAAGCATATTCTACCTAAGCACTTCATCCCGAGGAGGTTTGAGATCATTCCTGCCAAGACAGTACAACCCCTCCCGAGCAGGGTGGGATGCGGGCGAGCCCTTCCTTCCAGCTGGACATCCAAAAGGGTGAAGGTACCGGTGGGTTTCAGCACGTAGGAAGTTTGGGTTGGGCTGGGTTGAGTTGATTTACAACATCACCACCGAGCCCGCCGGGACTCCTTTCACGGAGTGATTATTATTTTTTTTTAGTTGTATTTTATAAGCACAAAGTTATGAATTGAGAACTTTTTTATTCTTTTCTTTTTCTTTTGTTTTTTCTTTTTTCCTTTTTTCTTTTAATTTTCTATTTCCTTTTTTTTTTCTTTCGTTTTTTTTTCTCTTTCTTTAACGTTTCTCCGACTTTTAGGCGTCAGTAAATTCCCCCGCACAGAACCGCAGCCTGACATCCCTCCACCTTCCTCCTCCGACACCAAGTTGAGGACGTACCGGAGCCTTTACCGAGCCCCGAGGCTCTGGGGGGGCTTTTCTTCCCGTTCCCGTCCCCAAACCCCAAATTCTCCACAGTGTCCCCCCCAAACACACACCCCCCCGGAGCATCTCCACTCACCAGCTGCAAAGCGCAGAGGAAGATGAGGGTGCAGCGCCCGGTGCAGCATCCCATGGTCCCCGAGCAGCGGGGCAGGGGCAGC